CAGAGAAATTTTTTTAAAGAAGAGGGGATACTACCCACCTCCAATCTACATAAACCAGGTGGTTTCATGACAGCAGCTGTAACTATAACACAAAATCTGAAAGGAACGTTTTAAGAAAGGAAAATTATACATCAATTTCACTAATGAACAAAGATATAAAAATCTAAACAGTCCGGGTGCAGTAGCTCACGCCTGTGATCCCAGCACTTTTGGAGGTGGAGGCAAGAGGACTGCCTGAGCTCAGGACTCAAGACCAGCCTAGACAACTTGGCAAAACCTAGTCTCCACAATAAACCAAAAAATCAGCTGGGCATGGTGGCACAAGCCTGTAGTTACAGCCACTTGGAAGGCTAAGTAGAAGAATTGCCTAAGACCAGCAGGTCGAGGCTTTAGTGGCCATGAGTGTGCCACTGCACTCCAGCCTGGGTGTCAGAGTGAGACTCTGATTTAAAAAAAAAAAATAAAACTGAACTCACAGAAACAGAATAGTATAGTGGTTAAAGGCTGGGGTGGGGGAAATGGAAGATAATCATCAGAGGTTATAAATCCTCAGTTGGAAAGAAGGGGTAAGCTTAATTCTTCAGTATCTATTGTACAGCATAGTGTGAATATAGCTAATAATTAAATACTGCATATTTTAGTATTGCTAAGAGAGTCAATCTCAAATGTTCTCACCACAAAAAAACCTCAAATATTTGAAATGATTAACAGATTAACTTGCTTGATTTAAACATTCCACAATGTATTCAAAAATCATAATATCACTTTGTATCCCATAAATATATATACAACTATAATTTATCAATATGTAATAAAAAAGGAATATTTATAGCATTCAAAAACTGGAAACAATAAAAATGCCCACCAGCAGAATAAATAAATAACTGGAATATTCTTATAATGTAGTATTACAGAGAAAGGAAACCGCAAATTACAACCCCACACAATACGAAGAAATTCTAAAGCCTTGAAAGCAAAAATCAAGACACAAAAAAGGACATATAATATCATTTTATTTTTTAAGGTAAAGAGTTGTAAAACTAAACTATAGTGTTTAAAATAGAAATTTAAGCCAGGTTCGGTGGCTCAGCCTGTAATCCCGCGCCTTTGGGAGACTGAGGTGAGTGGATTGCCTGAGCCCGTGGGCTCGAGACCCGCCTGGGCCGCGAGACCTCATCTCTACAATAAATAAAAAAAGTCAGCCGGGCGTGGTAGCGCAAGCCTGTAATTCCAGCTACTCGGAAGGCTGAGGCGGAAGGATGGCCGGAGCCCAGCAGGCAAGGCTGCGGTGGCCGGGAGCGGCCACTGCACTCCAGTCTGGGCAACTGAGTGAGACTCCAACTCAAAAATAAAAAATAATAAATAAATAAATAAATAAAATAAATAAAATGTAAATGTAAATTGGTAACAATAAAAAGAAATTTAAGAACATGATTACCATTAAAGGTAGGACAGTGGTAAACTCTAAAGAAGGAGAGGGTGTGACTGGGAAAGGATGCACAGACCACTGAGGAATAGATAATATGCTATATCGTTACATGAGTCATGGTTACATGTTTGTTTCAAAATGATGTCTGAAACCATATATTTCATGCACTTTTCTGTATCTGTATTATATTTAATTGTTTTTAAAGGAAATACATTCCCTTCTCAGGCTTCCCAACCTAAAGCAGTCGGGTATTTGAAGAAACTATGCCAAAGTTAGAGACCACAGAGCTTCATATTAAGGCCATGGTTAATTTGCTTCATAAGGCAGGCCTGTAGAGTACTCTGTGGAACACGTGGTACATACTGTCAGGGTGTCAGTTCAGCTTATAAAGATTCCTTCTGTAAGAACTTCCCTATCAACAGTGGCAGGACCTCAGCAGTTATGCTTGAACTCCATGACCTTCCTCTAAGTACCAGTTGATTACAGCAGAAGAAAACTCACCCATTGCTGGGCCAACCAGATTCATTCTCCCAAGTGTAATTTCCAGCTAAGATACAGACCTGAACAGGAGTTGTTGGAGGCTGAAGCACAAAGATGACACTGCTAAGGATACGAGGAGGGACCCAAAAAACCCCAGATTGTGTTTATTAAAATTTATGTGTTTATACTTACATGTTGAAACTTCGGTCAGCTTCAAAGTACTCCACATTTCATGCAATACTCCTACCAAGACACATTTTCCACCGCTCAAAAGTTTTTGAACTTGTCAATTTTTATGCCTTTTAGTGTTTCTGCTGTTGTTTTACCTTTCCACATTGGAAAAACATTTCCCTTTGAGGATTTTTTCACATGGAAAAACAAAAAAAGTCACTCAGGGCGAGATCAGGAGAATAGGGATGGTGGGGCATGGGGATCATGCCGTTTTTGGTCAAAAACTGGTGAACACTCAGCACAGTGTGGGCTGATGCACTCATAAATCACCCATCATGAAAGTGTCAAATGAGTTTAAAGAATCTTCCCCCCAAAATTTAGTGAAACCAAATGCAACCTCTCACAATAATGCTAGTTGGTATACTGATCCTGATAGGTTCCCAAAACTCTTTATCTAGTAGGAGATGCCTATAGTACCAGGGGTTTGCCCTCCAAAAGATAATTTGGGTTCTTTTGAGTCCCCTCTTGTACACTTTTTGAATAAGTCCTTCAAACAGCCCTGGTTCCCACCTTGCCCAGGGTCCAGCAGATTTTATAAGAAACCTGTGTACATTAGTTAGCATTCTAAGTTGCAAGCTACAGGCACCCAAAGTGTAACAATAAGGGTCCCTCAACAAAATTGATTTTATCTAGATCAACTAAAAAGATTACCAAAATTAGGAATGAAAGAGATGACATTACCACTGACCTTTCATAAATTAAAAGAATCAGACTGGGTGTGGTGGTTCACACCTGTAATCCCAGCACTTGGGAGACAGAGGTGAGAGGACTGCCTAAACTCAGGGGTTCAAGACCAGCCTGAGCAACATGGCAAGACCTCGTCTCTACAATCCATCAACAAACTAGCTGGGCGTGGAGACGCATGCCTATAGTTCCAGCTACTTAGAAGGCTGAGGCAGAAGGATCACCGGAGTCCAGAAGGTCAAAGCTGCGGTGGCCATGAGCATGCCACTGCACTCCAGCTTGGACAACAGAGTAAGACTCTGACTCAAAAAACAAAAACACAAAAAAGAATCATAAGATAATTAACTTTATGCCAACAAATTGGACTTTAATGAAATGAAAAACTTCCCAAAAAAATGCAAATTACCAAAACTAACTTGAGAAGAAACAGAAACTGAGTAAACCCTCTAACAAGTAAAGAAAGTGAATCAGTAATTAAAAGTTTTCCTACAAAAAAACCCAGATGGCTTCACTGATGAATTTACAAAACATTTAAGAAGAAATGATAATAATACTCCACAAACTCTTCCAGAAAAAAAAGGAGGAAGAAACACCTTCAGATTCATTCTTTGAGGCCAGTATCACCATCAAACCCAGACAGAAATATCACCAAAAAAAGAAAAGAAAAGAATCAGTCAGGCATGGTAGCTCACAACTGTAATCTCAGCACTCTGGGAAGCCAAAGTGAAGGATCGCTTCAGCCCAGGAGTTTGAGGTTAGTTTGGGCAACATAGCACTACCTTGCCTCTACAAAAATTAAAAAATAAAAAAAATCTGCCACCTGTAATCCTAGCTACTCAGGAGACTTAAGCGGAATAATTGCCTGAGCCCAGGAGGCTGAGGCTGCAGTGAGCTGTGATTGTGCCTCTATACTCTAGCCCAAGTAACAGAGTGAGACTCTGGCTCAAAAAAGAAAAAAAAAAGAAAAGACCAATATCCCCCAAGACTACAGACAAACAAATCCTCTAAAAATACTAGCAAACCAAATCTAACAATATATAAAAACTGCATACTATATAAACACCATAACCAAGTGGGATTTATCCCTAGAACATAAGGCTGGGCCAGGCGTAGTGGTTTAAACCTGTAATCCCAGGACTTTGGGAGGCGGAGGCAAGAGGATTGCCTGAGCACAGGGGTTTGAGACCAGCCTGGGCAACTTGGTGAGAGCTCATCTCCACAATAAATTAAAAACAAATAAGCCAGACATGGTAGCACGTATCTGCAATTCCAGCTATTTGGAAGGCTGAGGCAGAAGGATCGCCTGAGCCCAGCAAGTCAAGGCTGCAGTGGCCGTGAGCAAACCACTGCACTCCAGCCTGGGCAACAGAATGAGACTTCAACTCAAAAAAAAAAAAAGAATGCAAGGCTGGTTTAACATCCAAAAATCAGTTTATGTAATATATCCTATTAATATAAGAAAGAACAAGATCACATAATCACCTCAATAGATGTGGAGAAACCGTTTGACAAATCTAACACCATTCATGATTTTTTTTAAAAAACTCTCAAAGGTCACAAGGAAAACAGATGATCTACTAAGAATAGGATAATTTGAAGATGGTATATTTACAAAAATGTAGGTAGAGAGGAACTGCTAGAAACAGTGCAGGAACCTGAAGCTAGTTGAAACTAAGCTGGTACCACTTCTCAACCCAAAGGAATAAGAAGAAGAAACAATTTCCAGAACCCAGAAGGAACGAGTAATAGAGTCTGCCATATTACAAGGTGCTGTAAGCTTCAGTGGAAAGACACAGCCAACCCAAGTACAAGTGTGAAAGGAACCATAATTAAAAGTAGGCAAAAGATACAATAGCCAGCCTACCTTGATAATATAACTTCTAACCTCAGGAAAATCATCTTCACTTCTGTTCAAAATCAGAATTTTAATGATGGATGTTTATATTACACTCAAAATGATTTTTGAGTGTTAATATAATGTATAAAATGTGCATTATCTTGATGAGAAACTCAAAATATTAATGACAAAAAATTGTTACCTACTCTTAATACCTCATCATTCATGATATAGAAACTTCTTGTTTATTTATCTTATTCTTTTCACACACAAAATGTTAACAGACTTTTATATGGACCATCATTTCAGTTATCTTTTTTATCAAGTCCCACCACTCACCTGGAATCAACCTTCTTATCCATTATCTGCTTAATCACTTTTTTACGGAAATTCAACCAGTGTCTTGATATACACTTCTTGATGAGCAGATTCTTCATGAGTCAAAGTCTTCTATTTTTTCTTCTATTACAAGAAAAAAGGAAATAAAAGAGAAATAAAATTATCTGCAGCCTCTCATGAGCCACATTTCTGAAAAGCTACATGTTAACTTCTAGTCTCCTGTCCCTCTTTCTTAATTCAATACTAGATAAACATAGGCGAGATCTTTGACTTAAAATATTATTTTTAGCCAGATGTGGTGGCTCATGCCTGTAATCCCACTTTGGAAGGCAGAGATGAGAGAATTGTTTGAGACCAGTCTGGGCAACTTGGCAAGACCTTGTCTCTACAATAAATAAAAAAATTAGCCAGGCATGGTGGCATGTGCCTGTGGTTCCAGCAACTTGGAAGGCTAAAGCAGAAGGATTGCCTGAACCCAACAAGTGGAGGCTGCGGTGGCCGTGGGCAAGCCACTGCACTCCAGCTAGGGAGACAGAGTGAGATTCCGACTCAAAAAGGTATATATATAATTTTTTAATAGTATTGCAAAATGTCATTTTCTAAGAAAGGGAACTGAGAGGAGAATGAGCCACACTCAAAAGATGTCACTGGATCATTCTTCTGTCTTGATGCTCCAATGTCTTCAACTTCCCTTCATAAAAATACTGGTAGAGGCCAAGACTTTTAATTTTCCCCCAAGATTAATTTTTATGATTGTCAATGTTACCTATAAGAATTTTCAGGCATCCTGGGAAGCAGACTTTATCTCTACAAAAAATTTTAAAAATTAGCCAGATGTGGTAGCACATGCCTGTAGGCCCAGCTACTCAGGAGGCTGAGGTGGGAAGATCACTTGAGTCCAGGAGGTCGAGGCTGCAGTGAGCTATGACCGCACCTCTGCCCTCTACCCTGGGTGACAGAGGGAGAACCTATCTCTTAAAAAAATTTTTAAAAAGGAAAAAAAAGAATCTTCAGGCTATTTTTGATCAGCAGTAGATATTACTGTGAATGGGTTTCATTTCCAATTGGTGAGCATTTCTACCAAAAGTATTCATTATGAACTGAATAAACATAGTTTTATTTTTTAGAGCAGTAGTACTGTGGGTTAAACTGTGTTCCCCAAAAAGATATGCTGAAACCCTAACCCCTGATCCCTTATTTGGAAATTGGGTCTTTACAGATGTAATTAAGATATAAATTAAGATGATATCACATGGGAGTAGGGTGGGCCCTTAATCCGATATGATTGGCACCCTTATAAAAAGGGGCACAGGGACAGATACACATAAAGAGGAGAATGTCATGTGATGACAGAGGCAGAGATTACAGTGTGTGTCTGTATGCCAAGGAATGCCAAGTATTGCTGGCAACACCAGAAGCTAAGAGAAAGGCATGGAACAGATCTTCCCCTGAGCCTTCAGAGAGAAGATGCCATCTTAATTTTACATTTCTAGCCTCCAGAACTGTGGGAAAATAAACTTCGATTATTTTTAAGTCACCCAGTTTGAGGTACTTCATTACAGCAGGCCTAGGAAACTAACACAAGAAGTAAGATAGAAGAGTAAAATTTAAGTACATGGTAGAGGTAAGCTAACAGGATGAACATGACCTATGTTCTAGTCTTTCCAGTTCCAAGGAACAGAAGTCATCATGACTGTTTCCATAAGTAAACCAAATTAAGGAGTATTCAAATAGGGATTTTTGGTGAAATACTGCTATAATAAATAGGTCACTTCCTTAGGTTTATGTCCTGTTGTACTGATTCTGTAGAATGTCCTTTGTGGTCAAGAACTCCCTTTTGTTATGTACTTTGTACCAGTATTTTAACTGCTCATATATGTCTGTCTTCCCCTCTAGAAATATAAATCCCATGAAAATAGGAGACGTATATGATCTTCTCTCCACTATATCCCCAGCATCTAAAACAATGCCTGTAACCTCACAGATAAGATATACAAATACTGGAAAGACTAGAACATAGGTTTGTTCACAATAAGGACTTATTATTTTTATTATTTTTTTCTTTAGAGACAGGGTTTTGCTCTGTCACCCAGGCTAGAGTGCAGTAGCATGATCGCAACTCATTGAAGTCTCAACCTCTTGGGCTCAAGTGATTCCCCTGGCATAGCCTCCAGAATAGCTGAGATTATAGGAGTGTGCCACCATGCCCAGCTAATTTTTTTTTCCACTATGTTCCCCAGGCTGGTCTTGAAGTCCTGGCTTCAAGCAATCCTCCCACCTTGGCCTCCCAAAGCACTGGAATTACAGGTGTGTGCCACCATGTCTAGCCCATACATATAAGGACATGTATAAATATGATCTTGCTTCTAAGTTGGAATATACATAATAATAATCAAATACAAAAGATGGCCCAAGAAAAATGAAAATTATTAGGTGTTGGCTCCCAGTTAAACATGTAGATTGACCTCCTAAGATGATAGTAAAGGATAAAAAGGTACAAACCATAAGGTCAAACAAATGGGAGAAGAGATCAGAGGAAATGAGATTTCCATGGATTTTTGCAACAAGGAAGGAAAATGAACTGACCTAACAGATTTGAGGAAACAAAAATCTTCAGAGTGAGATATCAAAGGAAAACAGTCCACACAGAATCCCAGAAGAGCTCAGAACTAGAAGAAACAAGGAAAGGCTCTCTGACCTGAAACCACAGGCCATAAATGAGAGAATTGAATGAAAGTCTCTATAGTGAGCAATTGGAGCCCCAGATCTCCCAGCACTGCCAGACATGCTATTCAGCCCCATCCCACTGCCCTGTTTCCATAATTCTGGCAGCTAGACTGGTACACCTCAGGCAGGAGACTGGGAAACTCTTCTCCAAAGACACTAAAAATGAACAGACCTCCAGATTCTGACATACGTGCCTCACCTCCAGCCATCAATAAAAAAGCAGGCTTGTCCTTACTTACCCTAAAGCCCATAAACTCACAAGTCCTGCTCAGACTCTAGGAGCTCCAAATTAAATTTCTCTGTTATAAGTAGGTAGCAATGTACAGTCAAGGATCACAAAACATTTGGAAAAGAACTCCAACAAAAAAGAGACCAATATAAACAAAGGATCCTGAGGGAGTGCCACTACCTGTGATGCAATCCTGCCAATCATTAAGCCTCATCTAGAATTAAGTACAGTTAAGTCTTCACATACATCGTTAATAGGTTCTTGGAAACTGCAACTTTAAGCAAAACAACATAAAACAAAACCAACTTTACCATAGGCTAACTGGCATAAATAAGAATTAAGTTCCTACAGCAAATTTCTGGTAACAAAAACATCACCAACCTTCTAAATAAAGATCCAAATGCTTCTAATATTAAACACTGAAATAAATGTGAGCTATACATACATTTATGAAAGATTTATAAAAACAAGTAAGATAATTATTTACCCTCTTATTCCAGTTCAAGGTCGAGGGTGGCCAAAGTCTACCTGGGAGCTCAGGGTGCCAGGTGGGAGCCAACCCTGAACATGATACCATTCCATCACAGGGCACACTCACATACATATACACGCACATACTTACTCAGACTGAGACTATGCAGACACACCAATGAACCCAGTGTGCACACCTTGGAGATTTCTCTGTAGCATAGGATGCTGTTTGACAGAGGATACTAGAGCAAACATGGAGAAAATAGTTGCCAATTCCACACAGACAGTGGCCCCATCTGGAATTGATTTCTCCCCCCACCAACACTATAACAAAATGACATTGGGGGTACCACACAATTTAAAATGCATAGACTAGAACCAAAATATTTATGGAGGGGGTACTCTGTGTCAGGCATAGTAAGTACTAAGCACATTTCATTAATTACCTACTTTATTACAACCACCTCAATGATTACCATCTTCATTTTATAGACAGGGTGCCCAAAGTCACCAGCTAACAAATGATGGAGCTGGGGCTAGTACAGGCATAACTCAGAGATACTGAAGGTTCAGTTGCAGACCACTGCAATAAAGCAATTCACATAAATTTTTTGGTTTCCTAATACATATAAAAGTTATGCTTTTACTATACTATAGTTTATTAAGTGTGCAACAGTATTATACCTAAAAAAATAATGTATATACCTTAATTTAAAAATACTTTATTGGCCGGGCACGGTGGCTCATGCCTATAATGCCAACACTTTGGGAGGCAAAAGCAAGAGGATTGCCTGAGTCCAGGGATTCGAGACTAGCCCGGGTAACTTGGCGAAACCTCGTCTCTACAATAAATCAAAAAATTAGCCAGGCATGGTGGCACACACCTGTGATTCTGGCTACTTGAAAGGTTGAGGCTGAAGGCTCACCTGAGCCTGGCAGGTAGAGACTTGTTGGCCATAAGCATGCCACTGCACTCCAGCCTGGGTGACAGAGTGAGACTTCTACTCAAAAAAAAAAAACAAAAAAACCCCAACTTTATTGCTTAAAATGCTAATGATTATTTGAGTTTCCAATGAGTTGTAATTTTTATACTGGTGGAGGGTCTTGCTTCTATGTTGATGGCTACTGACTGATCACGGAGTTGCTAAAGACTGGGGTGGTTGTGGCAATTTCTTAAAATAAGACAATGAAATTTGCCACATCGATGGACTCTTCCTTTCATGAAAGATTTTTCTGAAGCATGGATGCTGTTTGACAGAATTTTACCTACGGTATAACTGCTTTCAAAATCGGAGTCAATTCTCTCAAACCCTGCCACTGCATTATCAACTAAATTTATGTAATATTCCACATGCTTTGTTGTCATTTAACAATGTTCACAGCATCTTCACCAGGAGTAGATTTCATCTCAAGAAACCACTTTGTTAGAAACCCCTCACCCATTTAAGATTGCAGTAATTCAGTCACATCTTCAGGCTCCACTTCTAATTCCCTTGCTATTTCTACCACATCTGCAGTTACTTTCTCCAAGTCTTGAGCCTCTCAAAGTCATCCATTAGGGTTGGAATCAGCTTCTTCAAACTTCTGTTAATGTTAATAATTTTCCTTCTCCCATTAACCATGAGTATTCTTGATGGCATCTAGAATGATATATCCTTTCAAGACCAGCCTACATAGCAACTGAGCAACATAGCAAGACCTTGTCTCTACAAAAAACAACAACAACAAACAATTAGCTGGGTACGATGGCATGAGTTTAGAGTCCCAGCTACTCAGAAGGCTGATGTGGATGTATCCACTGAGCCCAGGAGGTCACTGTGGTAAGCCATAATTGTGCCACTGCACTCCAGCCCAGGCAACAGAGTGAGACTCTAACTTAAAAAAAAAAATAGAGCACAGGGAGAATAGAGTTAGCATAATTCCTAAGAGTTTTAGGATTTCCAGAATGGTAAATGAGTACTGGCTTCAACTTAAAATCATCAGCTGCATTAGCTTCTAACAAGAGAGTCAGTCTTTGAAGCTTTAAGGCCAGCATGGACTTCTCCTTAACCATCAAAGTCCTAGATGGCATCTTCTTCCAATAGAAGACTGTTTCATCTACTGAATCTGCTGTTTAAAGGAGACAACTTCATCAATTACCTTGCCTAAATCTTATGATAACTTCTTGCAGCTTCTCCATCAGCACTTTCTGCTTCACCTTGCACTCTTACGTTATGGAGATGGTTTCTTTCTTTAAATCTCAAGAACGAACCTATGTTAGCTTCCAACTTTTCTTCTGCAGCTTCATTTCTCTCAGTCTTCACGGAATTGAAGATAATTCGAATCTTGCTGTGGATTAGGCTTTGGCTTCAGGGAATGGCTGTGGCCGATTTTGATTTTCTATCCAAACCACTAAAACTTTCTCCATATTAACACCAAGGCTGTATCCCTTTCTTTCTTTCTTTTTTTTAAAAGCAGGATTTATTGAGAGGACAGGAAAGCTCCCACAGTGGGAGGGGACCCAAGGGGGTTGCCACTGTATCCCCTTCTTATCACTCACTGGAGTAGCACTTTTAAATTTCCTTCAAGAAGTTTTCTTTTGTATTCACAACTTGGCTTATCACAAGAGACCTATTTTTAGGCTCATTTTGGCTTCTGACATGCCTTCTCAGTAAGCTTAGCAATTTCTAGCTTTTGATTTAAAGAGAGAGATTGTGCTACTTCTTCTACTTGAATGCTTAAGGCCATTGTAGACCTATTAATTGGCTTGATTTCTCGTTTTTTCTTTTTGAGTTGGAGTCTCACTCTGTCACCCTGACAGGAGTGTATGCTCACGGCCACTGCAGTCTGGACCTGCTGGGCTCAGGTGATCCTTCTGCCTCAGACTTCCAAGTAGCTGGAATTACAGGCCTGCGCCACCACACCCAGCTAATTTTTGGATTTATTATAGAGATGAGGTCTCGACAAGTTGCCCAGGCTGGTTTCAAACCCGTGGGCTCAGGCAATCCTCTCACCTCTGCCTCCCAAAGTGCTGGGTTTACAGGCATGAGCCACTACGCCCAGTCTTGATTAATTTCAATATTTTTGTTTCTCAGGTAAAAGGGAGGCCGGAGGAGGAGACTGGGAATGGTGGAGCAGTCAGAACACACACATTTAACAACTAAGTTTGCTGTCGTAAAGAGTGTGGTTCATAGTGTCCCAAAACGATCATGACAGTAGCATAAATGCCACTGATCTCCTCAGACATGATGCAGAGAAGATGCACCATAACAGATATAATAATACAAAGTTTGAAATATTGGTGAGAATTACCAAAATGTGACACAGAAACACTAAGTGACCACACGCTGTTAGAAAAATGGCTGCTCCATGCAGGGTTGCCATTAAGCCTTCAATTTGAAAAAATATAAAATGCAATATGTGCGAAGTGCAATAAAATGAGGCATGCCTGTTCTCAAGTCCCTAACATCACTCGTTCAACAAATATTTACAGCACTTCTGCCCAACAGTTCAGAAATCATTCAGGCCTCTCGTAAAATAAAAACGCACCATCCATCATCCAAGCGGGGCGGCTGCAAGGTCTGTTTGCTGCGATAGCTCTGGGAACTCATATGCGGTCCCTGAGTCTGCAGGACACCAGCCCCTCTCTGGCCATGCAGCAGGGATTCAGAAACCCCTGATTCGGACCCGCGCACGCTAAACGCGACTCGCGTGGTTTCGGGCACCGGCTAGGAGCGCACTAGTCGCCTGGGACAACGTGGCGCCCCCGGGGCGGGGGACGAGACGCTGCGAAGACGCGCCCGGCAGAAACACGCGAAAGCCAAGGAGAGGATGGCGGGCTCCCGGCGCCAGCCCACGCCCTCTTCTCGCGTCTCCTCCCTCCCCGCGCCGCGACCCCGTGGGTAAGAAGCATCACCTGCACTTCTAGAGGAGGAAGCGGAGGCTCCGACAGCAGAGTCACCAGGCCCGGCTCAGAGGGACCGGAGCTCGCCGCCGGGGTTAACACCCGGCGAGGCCAAGCCACTCAGAGGATGGGGACGCCTGGGCCGA